GAATGGCGTGAACCCGGGAGGCGGAGCTTGCAGTGAGCTGAGATCCGGCCACTGCACTCCAGCCTGGGCGACAGAGCGAGACTCCGTCTCAAAAAAAATAAAAAAATTAAAAAAAAAAACAAAACTAGGACTAAGTTTAGAAAAAGTATGTCTTAGCTTTTTTTTTTTTTAAGACAAGTCTCGCTGTCACCCAGGCTGGAGTGCAGTGGCATGATCTTGGCTCACTGTAACCTCCGCCTCCCAGGTTCAAGCGATTCTCTTGCCGCAGCCTCCGGAGCAGCTGGGACTACAGGTGCGCACCACCATGCCTGGCTAATTTTTGTATTTTTAGTAGAGATGGAGTTTCACCATGTTGGCCAGATGGTCTTGAATTACTGGCCTCAGGTGATCTGCTTGCCTTGGCCTCCCAAAGTGCTGGGATTATAGGTGTGAGTCACCGCGCCTGGCCTATGTCTTAGCTTTATTCAATGAGAAGAGGAAGCCAGCTGTTAAAGGGATAATTTGAGCAAAAGGACAATATGTGCAATACACAGAAAAACATCAAATGTTTTAATCCATGAATTCCTAATTATTATTGAAAAACAACTATAAGTCTTGCTTTCAACTTTGGAAGATGCTTGGTAGGGCATTATTTGGAAACTGGCAAATAGAGATCCAATATTCATCCTGCCTTTCCCAAGGGTAACCACAGTGTTTGATGAGTGTAAGTTTCTCTTTATAGATATATTCTAGCTAATTAATGAGGAAAGAACATAAAAACTGCAGTATCATCTTTCTGAAACCCTAGTGAAATGAAGTAAAAAATCTGGGCAGCAATCACCAATGGCTGCCCGGCACATTATACCTCCTGATCAAAGTAGACAAAATCACCTATGTGATATTCTTGCCAAACAAATAAAACTGGAATTCAATCCATCCTTTCCAGAGTTAGGTTTTTAAGGCAATACAGGGGATGGAAGACAATGTCTGAAGACCCCACAGGACTGTGGGAACCTTTGCAGGACAAATGACTTGAGCTCTTCAACAAATAAAAATATGCAAGAGGGAAACAGATGGAGCACTGAAATCTGAAGAGTAAGAAGGCCTATTGACCAACTAGTGTATACACTTTATTTGGATCCAGATTTTAACAAACTATAAAAGTGCTTAGGAGACAACTGGGGAAAACTGAACCCAAACTGGATATTTGACATTTGATAATAAGAAATTTAGCTCTGCTGGGCGTGGTGGCTCACACCTGTAATCCCAGCACTTTGGGAGGCCAAGGGGAGAGGATCACTTGATGTCAGGGGTTCAAGACCAGCCTGGCCAACATGGTGAAACCCGTCTCTATTAAAAATATAAAAAATTAGCCAGGCATGGTGGTGGGCGACTGTAGTCCCAGCTACTCGGGAGACTGAGGCGGGAGAATTGCTGGAACCTGAGAGGCGGAGGTTGCAGTGAGCGGAGATCGAGCCATGGCACTCCAGCCTGGGTGACAGAGTGAGACTCGGTCTCAAAAAAAAAAAAAAAAAAAAAAAAAAGAAACAAACCAGAAATTTAGCCCTGTATATGTTTCTATGAGGAAAACACCCCACAAACTCAAAGTATTTTTCTTATTCCCTCACCCAACAACAGCAGAAGACAGAGACTTCTGTTACCCCCAGATATGAGGGGATTTCTCCCTACCAGCAAGCAAGCAAGCAGTTTTGCAGTGGATAATAGCTGGGTGTTGTCCAATTCAATTCTGACACTATCTACCTGGAGAGTGTCAGATCAGGAAGTTGAGGGCCCAGTTCTCAAAATCGCACCACCCTTCAGACACCAGTTGGGCCTCTGGAACTTCTGATCTACGACCACCAGCTTTAAGTGGGGGTTCCCATGATCCCTTCTTTGGGTTTAATTTGCCAGAAGTGGCTCATAGAACTCAAGAAAACACATTTACCAGTTTATTATGAAGGATATTCAAAGGATACAGAAGAAGAGATGCATAGGGTAAGGTATGGGAGAAGGGACATGGAGCTGCCACGCTCTCCTTGGGTGCCCCAACCTTCAGAAACCTCCATGTGTTCAGCTATCCAGAAGCTCTCTGAACCCTATCTTTTCAAGGTTTTATGGAGGCTTCATTACACAGAAATGATTGATTAAACCACTGGCCATGAGTGATCAACTTGACCTTTAGCCCCTCTCCTCTCCCTAGAGATTGGAGTATGGGGCTGAAAGCTCCAACCTCTAATCATGTCTGTCTTTCCATTGACCAGTCCCATCCTGAAGCATACATCAGCATACAAAAAGATATGACCTTGGATATTCCAAGGATTTTAGGAGTTATATGACAGGAGAAGGGGAGGAAGACTAAACATATATTTCGTAATATCACAGGTACGATAACTGTACTCAAGCAATGCTTGACATATTCTCCACAATGAAATTTAAAATACTTTATATTTAAAATACTTTAAATTTAAAATATTTTTAAAAATTAAAATATATGAAAATAAACCAAAACATGAGGGCCAACATATATACATAATAATTATTAACAGTATTGTTTTATCCAAGAAAAGTTTTACAAATATGGAAATAAAAAGGTCAATCTCTATTATGATAAAAGAAAATGAATATTCTGGCCAGGCGCAGTGGCTCACACCTGTAATCCCAACACTTTGGGAGGCCAAGGAGGATATATCATCTGAGGTCAGGAGTTCAAGACCAGCCTGGCCAACTTGGTGAAACCCCGCCTCTACTAAAAATACCAAAAAATTAGCCAGGTGTTGCAGCGGGCACCTGTAATCCCAGCTACTCAGGAGGCTGAGACAGAGAATTGCTTGAACCGGGGAGGCGGAGGTTGCAGTGAGCCAAGATCCTGCCACTGCACTCCAGCGTGTCTCAAAAAGAAAGAAAAAGAAAATGAAACCTTTTTTTTTTTTTGAGATGGAGTCTCACTGTATCACCCAGGCTAGAGTGCAGTGGCATGATCTCTGCTCACTGCAACCTCCGCCTCCCAGGTTCAAGCGATTCTCCTGTCTTAGCCTCCTGAGCAGCTGGGATTATAGGCGCACACCACCACGCCCAGCTATTTTTTGTATTTTCAGTACAGACGGGGTTTCACCATATTGGCCAGGCTGGTCTGGAACTCCTGACCTCGTGATCCACCTGCCTTGTGCTCCCCAAGTGCTGGGATTACAGGCGTGAACCACCGCACTCGGCCTGAATATTCTTAAATATTGATAGATACTGTCTGACATGTATACAATGTAAAGTTTTATAAATGTTCTTGCCCTTATAACCCAGAATTTCATTTTTAATTAGAAATAAAAGGAAAATCAGGGGAAGGGAAATTCTAAATGTCCAGAAGATAGATTTATTCAATTATTTATAGTATACTTGAAAGTTGAAACACTATCAGCCAGGTGCACTGGCCCGTGTCTGTGGTCCCAGATACTTAGGAGGCTGAGGTGGGAGGACTGCTTGAGCCCAGGAGTTCAAGCCCAGCCTGGGCAACACAGTAAGGCCTCTTTTCTACAAAAAATTTTTTAAAAGATTTTTTAAATTACCTGGGCATGGTGGTGCATGTCTGTAGTCCCAGCTGCTGGGGGGCTGAGGCGGGAGGAGTGCTTGAGCCCATGGAGGCTGTACTGAGCTGTGAATGTGCTACTGCACTCCAGCCTGAGCGACAGCACTAGACCCTGTGCCTCCCACAAACAGAAAGAACAAAAACCAAACAACTCTCCCCAAACAAAAATACTATGCAGCTATTAAAATATTCTTTTAGAACAATACTTTAAAGAGAAAATGTTCATAAAGCATTAATAACAAAAGCAGATACGATAAGGCAGTAGGCCTAAATGTTTTCTTAGCTGTCATCTCTCTAACCTTTTAAAATTGCAATTTACTTAAACCTTTTCATGCCACAGAAAACACAGGCAGTTCACCATTTTATAATGCTTAATACCAAACCTCAATATAAGGACAGTGTAATGAAGGAAAAACATACAAATAAACCAGTGTTTTGTGTGTCTAGCCACGGAATAAACAGAATAACATAAAGGACCATAGGACTTAGGCCCAGACAACCATCACACTAGTTCACCCATGCCAGGTGCTATGTCTAACACCTATAATCCCGGCACTTTGGGAGGCCAAGGTGGGAGGATCGCCTGAGCCCAGGAGTTTCAGACCAGCCTGTGCAACACGGCGAAAGCCTATCTCTACAAAAAATACAAAAATTAGCTGGGTTTGGTGGCACACACTTTTAGTACCAGCTGCTTGAGAGGCTGAGGTGGGAGGATTGCTTGAGCCTGGGAGGTGAAGAGTGCAGTGAGCTGAGATCATGGCACTGCACTCTAGCCTGGGTGACAGAGACCCTGTCTCAGAAACAGAAAACAACAAAACAGCCCATACAACTATGACCAATGCAATGAATTAACTTGAAGAATTAGACAGACAGATCTTTATAAAAATCAAGTATTTAATAGGCCATGATAGGTCTGGATTAAAAGGAAATAAAATATCTACAACAAATGATAATAAAAACATTTCAGGTCAAAAGTTATGAGACAAATCTAAAGCAGTGGGAAATTCATAGATTCAAATAGGTTTATCCAGAAATAAGAAAATTAAAAACAAACGAGTTAACCATTCAACTCATGAAGCTGGAGACAGCAACACAGCAAGCCTGCTCTCCTTAGGCAAAGGACAGCCTACTGAGGCAGAAGACTTTTCAACAATAATCATTCTACTACAGTCAACACAGAAACAATTATGGCCAACAGCAAGCGGGGGCCTTCACCTTTGCCCAGCTGTCATACAGTGCCCCAGTCACCACTCTACTGGGATGGAATGAACTTCTGCTCCCTCCCAGCAATAATGAGACAAGTCCCCACCCAAGATGTCAATGGAGTTTGTGCTGGGGAACCCGGACTTCCACCCACACCTTTCTTGCAATATCAGAGGAGGCCTGCTAAAACGTAAGATTTACATAGACCCGAGACTCACAAATATACAGGAGACAATGGAAAAATCACTGGTCATACCAAGAACCACAAAAATCTCAACTTGAATAGGAAAAGACAATCAATTGATACCAATACTATGAATGGATGTTGGATTTGTCTGATTTTAAAACAGCCATCTTAAAACTGCTTCAATAGGCAATTATGAACATACTCAAAGCAATTGAAAAACCAACATGAAAATAGCCAAGTATCGGTCAGGCGTGGTGGCTTACACTTGTAATCCCAGTGCTTTGGGGGGCCAAGGCAGGAGGATCACTCGAGGCTAGGAGTTCAAGACCAGCCTGAGCAACATAGCTAGATCCCATCTCTGTTAAAAGAAACACACACACACACACACACACACACACAAAACCCCAGCAAAACTTACCTAAGAAAATAAATGAACCACTAAGTGGAAGTTTTTAGAACTGAAAAATACATTATCTGTGCTAGAGCAAAAAGGAACCTAGGAAACTAACCTCATGGGCCTTCTCTGGACTAGTTGACTCTTTGGGATTGGCCCCAGACATGCTCTTCCTCCTCTTTGTATTTCCAGGTGGAGACTCCTCTTGAGATCGTTCTGGTCTCTTCAACACTGACCGAGTGCTGGAGCTACACAGGGAAGGGGAGTCAAACAGCTTGCATCGGTTGTCCTTACAGGAAAAAAAACAGACAGACCCATCTTTCATTAAAACCTGTTCACTTGAATGGTAAGACAAATAAACCATTCTAAATTAGCAAACAGGCACTGCTGATTCATTTAGTCCTAGCAACTCTCATAGGGCCTGGCACATAGCAGGCACTGAGCACTTAGTGCTCAATGAATATATACTCAGCTGACATTATATACAGACGAGTAAAACATCCTTTGCCCTCACAAAAACTGTCTAAATAATCCTGCGTCAAGAGAAGTGTGACCTTCCAGTCAGGAACACATTTTTGGCTTGCCTATCTTCCCCTCCATTTTATTACTTGCACCTTGCTTAAGCAGCTCAATGGGTTTAAATACCCCACCTAAATCCAGAAAAGATGCACCGTAGCCAGGTTATAATAAAAATGGGGGCATGATCAGTTAAGGTATAGTTAAGATGGTAAATTTGGAGGGAGTGGGGATGGGCTAGTAGCAAACGCCTTTCGAAATTGTGTTCAAAGTCTTTTTTTCTACTGGTCTTTTAAAGACTAATTTCCCAGGTTGGGCGTGGTGGCTCATGCCTGTAATCCCAACACAGTGGATCACTTGAAGTCAGAAGTTCAATACCAGCCTGGCCAACATGAAGAAATCAAAAATACAAAAAAATTAGCCAGGTGTGGTGGTGCTTGCCTTTAATCCCAGCTACCCAGGAGGCTGAGGCATGAGAATCACTTGAAGCCAGGAGGTGGAGGTTGCAGTGAGCTAAGATTGCACCATTGCACTCCAGCCTGGGTGACAGAGCAAGACTGTCTCAAAAAAAAAATAAAGACGAATTTTCCATAGTCCAAGGGAAGCCAACCTGACCAGTGGTAGAGAGAATCAGCTCTCTAAACGCATCTCAGCCTATTCTCGACTCCATGTGTCTTGGCCTGGCTTTTCCTTCCGCACAGAATGTCCTTTCACATCTCAGTAAACCATTCATTTTCAAGTTGATGCTAACATTTTTTTTTCTTTTTTTTTTTTTACACGGAGTCTTGCTCTGTCGCCCAGGCTGGAGTGCAGTGGCGTGATCTGGGCTCACTGCAAGCCCTACCTCGCGGGCTCACGACATTCTCCTGCCTCAGCCTCCCGAGTAGCTGGGACTACAGACACCCGCCACCACGCCCAGCTAATTTTTTTTTTTTTTTTGTATTTTTAGTAGAGATGGGGTTTCACTGTGTTACTCAGGATGGTCTCGATCTCCTGACCTCGTGATCCGCATGCCTCGGCCTCCCAAAGTGCTGGGATTACAGGCGCGAGCCATTGCGCCTGGCCGATGCTAACATTTCAATGTCACTTCTTTGAAATCTTCCCGATAGTCCCCAATGGAACAGATCACTCCCACATCCGCTCCCAGAGACCAGGGATTTTCTCCCTCTTTTGTCTGAGTTTATTTACCATTACGGCTCCCAGCAATGGTTAGTTTGTAACAACCATTTGTGGAAGAAATTTCCCCACTATTAAGAGCTTACAAGCCGATGCTTATGATTTTAAAATCAGATCTATAAAACTAATAGCCACTTCCAAAGTGTTCTCACATTTTATGTAATTGTATGCCTATCAAAATGACCTGGTAAATTTACTCATAACATGTGTACTGGGTTAACATATTTTCTCAAAAGTTATGCACATGAATGTATTATAATCCGTAAGTGATCTCAAAATTGTAGCTTGGCTGGGTGCGGTGGCTCATGCCTGTAAACCCAGCACTTTGGGAGGCAGGTGGATGGATCACCTGAGGTCAAGAGTTTGAGACCAGCCTGGCCAACATAGCGAAACCTGATCTCTACTAAAAATACCAAAAAAATTAGCCGGGAGTGGTGGCGTAAGCCTGTGGTCCCAGCTACTCAGGAGGCTGAGGCAGGAGAATCACTCGAACCCAGGAGGCAGAGGTTGCAGCAGGTCACGACTGCACCACTGCACTGAACTCCAGCCTGGGCAACAGAAGGAGACTCTGTCTCAAAAACAAAACAAAACAAACAAACAAAAAAACTGTAGCTCATTTGTTCCATAATTATAGTTCAGGTTATTGATAATTAAAAAATATGAACTTATCAATTTAGATGTGTACCTAAGGGTGTGTATCTCTGAATACACAGGTGTATATATCTGTGTAGGAACATTCTTGCTTCTAACTTTGAAAGTATCCCTATGATGAAAACATGAATCTAGTGTGTGTGTGTGTGTGTGTGTATATATATTATTTTGAATATATATACACACATACACTATAGATTCTGTATCTACACTATGCTTTCTGTTTGAAAGTATCCCTATGATGGAAACACAAATCTATACTGTGTTTGTGTATATGTGTGTGTGTGTCTGTGTGAGTATATATGTGTGTGTGTATATATATATAAAAAAAAATAAATTATTTTTAAAATTGAAAATATCTACCTGAAAATACCCAGCCTCAGGTAGGTATTTTCAATTAAAAAAAAAAAAATCCAGCCAGGCACAGTGGCTGTAATCCCAGCACTTTGGGAGGTTGAGGTGGACAGATCACCTGAGGTCAGGAGTTCGAGACTAAAAATACAAAAATTAGCTGGGTGTGGTGGCAGGCACCTGTAATCCCAGCTACTCGGGAGGCTGAGGCAGGAGAATCACTTGAACCTGGGAGGCAGAGGTTGCAGCGAGCCAAGATTGTGCCATTGCACTCCAGACTAGGCAACAAGAATGAGACTCCGTCTTAAATAAAACAAAACAAAACAAAACAACAACAACAACAACAACAAAACCCTGTGAGTTACTGTTGCTTGTCTAATTTTATGCTAGGTTCTGTGGAATATGAATGAGAATAACCTAAAAAAAGTAAAGTCTTCAGGCTAAAGGCTTCAGATAGGCTTTTTTCAAACTGACTAGATGGTAAAAGCCAGGAATGACCATGGTCCCACCTAACCCACACTCCTTATAGATCAGGAGACATGCAAAGAGATATCATCACTAAAGGTTTGTAGGTAGCCAAACTGAGGCCTAAAACCCAGATCCCCAAATCCTATCATTCATTTCAATCTTTGGCTATACTCAACTAAGGACTACTGTGTCCAGTGCCCCAATCCCTCAGGGCTTCCTCCAGACACACTAAAACAACTCACAAGGTTTGTAGTTCTCATGACGAGAGGAGCTGTCCAGAGGCTTGCCATGCACGAGGGGGTCTCCTCCTCATTCTAAAAAAACAGAAAAATTGATTTTAAAAAGATCCTGTAGAGACTAACATTAGTTTAAATGCTTTAGGTGTGTTTCTCCCTGAAGAATACCAGATAGGCCTGGATGGGAAGTATCCATAATGTACCACCCTATACCATTCTGATTTCATGTTTCTTGAATAGAAACTGCATATAGACTGATTTCATATTTCTTGCATATAAGACTGTTAGTTAGCTCCTTCAGGGTAAGAAGGATCATATGTCTTCTTTTGATACCCCCATCCCCCAACCCAAAGGATTTAATAAGGCTAGTAGCCCTATTATTAAATGAATTATCACCACATGAACAAAAGTAGCGGCTAAGCAAGCCCCGGGGAATTGCTGTTGCTGTTCTTTTTCACATCACATGACTTCTCCAGAGGTAATTAGTAGAATAGATAGGAACACACACACACACACACATATACACGGTACCTTCAGATTCTCTCCGTCGAGAAGGTCCATGAAGCCATCATCCTCATCAGACAAAGTGGCTGTCACAGGTGATTGGGGTGTAAAAAGAGGAATGAAATTCCCTCGTTCACTGCTATCTCTTTCATTTGAGGAAAGCTGTAAGACAAAATTCACGGATTAATAATAAATGAGAGCTCTGGTCCACTTTGATTTCCTTGAATGGGTCACTAGTTTCTATGATGAAAACATACTATGTTATACTTGTTACACTAAGTAATATTTTAGCAATTACTGATTATAGGAAAATGTATCCCAAGATTATAAATGATTTGATGTCCACACACAGCCCTGAGTAGTCAATAGCCTTCACAGAGAACTCTTGCCAGAAGCAATTCACCTTATAATGGGTACTAGAGATAGCCTCTTGTGAAGATAAGGTTTCTTTTATTAGGAGGTTGCATCAGTGAACACCGATCAGCATTGAGGACTGTGACAGTATGAGAATCTGCTGAAATGAGTTAGGGCAAGCAGATGCAAATCTCTATTGAGAGCATAAAATGGCCTAGAGAACGCACTTACATATAACTTCAGTTCTGACAGGGGGGAATAAAAGGTAACTTCCTTCTATAAAATCTATCCTCGTTCTTTAGACTTGGGATTTAAATGCTGCTCAGTTCTTAAATGAGGAATTACTGTGTGCCAGATACTACAACATAATCTTTATACATGTAATCTAATAGAAGCCTCACAATATACTAGCTAATTGTGAGGCTAGTAATCCTTTCCTTTTCCTTTAGCAAATCAGGAAACTCGTGCTTAAGAGAGGTTACCAAGATTATACACCTCACGTGTTTGACTCCAAAATCCAAACTCTTCTCACTACACTATCTCCCTAGGAGACAACCATTCCCAGAATTAAAATGGCGGTACTTCATTAGCCAACCTATAGTCATATATTTTTTTGGGAAACCTCTAAACATGGAATATAGAAAATTTAGAAAAACTGCTCATAAATCCACACCTGGAGATAAATCCTACTAGTAGAAACACTGCTAATACTGAATTCTTTATTTTCTAGGCACTTTCAAATTCAGAAAAAAAGCTTAGAGTTTTTTCACAGTAGCAGGGTAGTCCCAATGTTATGCCCTACAAGTAATCCTTAAAATCCAAATCTCTTTGGGGTATGAATCTGTTGTAAATTAGGTGGCCCTCCTTCGAGTTTCTGAGCGGATCATGCACTAAGGAATCCTCTCTGCAGCTGGCCTATTCTGGTTCTGGCATTAGCTTTGCTTCACAATATAAAAGAAGTTCTGGGCAGTCTCTAGTCCTCCCCAAGTGCACCTGACCACACTCTGGGAAATGGCAAATTTTTTTAGCCAGCTGAGCCTAGGAGTAGATAACTTTATTATGGGGAAGTACCTTTATCACGAAAGCTCACACTATATCACACCAACTTTTGTGAGGTAGGTTCTGGGATCCCTAGGTGCAGATATGATACAGGCTCTAGTTGCTAAGCACACACCAAATATATTGTTTCTGATATCCAACTCTTAAAGCGTTACTGTGTGCTTGGGAATTTAGAGATTGCTTATTGAGACAGGAATTCATTGTCCAGGCTGGAGTACAGTGGTCTGATCATAGCTCACTGCAGCCTCGAATTCTTGGGCTCAAGCAATCCTCCCACTTCAGCCTCCCAGTAATTGGGACTATAGGAACAAGCCACCACACTCTGCTTATTTTTTAACTTTGTACAGATAGGGTCTCATTATGTTACCTAGGGTCTCATTATGTTACCTAGGCTGGTCTTGAACTCCTCCTGACCTCAGGTAATCCTCCCACCTTGGCCTCCCAAAGTGCTGGGATTACAGCCATGAGCCACGGCACCCAGCCAGAGATCATTAAATCCTGGTTTCCCACTTAGGTATATCCTTTGGTAAATCATCCAAACCTCTCTAGTGGTACTTTCCTAATCTGTTCAAGTGGGTTAACTCCACTTACTTCACAAGACAAGAACATATAAAAGTGCTTTGTGCAAATAATAGACAGAGTAGCAACACTGGCTGAACCTCAGAACACAAACCAGATTGGAAAGGTGTATTTTCAGATTTAAGATCCTAGGTAAACCTGCAAGCCAAATGTGGTCATCCTGCTCAAGTTGGGCGTCTTCAATCTATAGATGCTATCAGTTAATCCAATTCAGACCAACAGCAGGAAACTTTGGAAGTAATGAGTCCCTGTCTGGCAAATACATAGCCCTAAAACAAGTGACCCCAAAACTGCCCAGTAGCCTGAGCGTTCACTGGAATCTATAGTAGTTCTTTTAAAAAAAAAAAAAAAAAAAAAAAAGAGATGTGGTCTCACTGTGCTGCCCAGGACTCAAGCAATCCTGTCTCAGTTTTCCAAAGTGCTGAGATTATAGGCATGAGCCATGGCACCTGGCCCATAACTGTTCTTAACAAACCACCTTTGGAGGAAGTCAAGTGCTCTCTCTCCAGCTCTTTGAGAAGCACTTAGAATGCATAGTAAAAGAGCAAGTTTTAAGTAAGAGGTCTAGTGTTACGGCTCTTTTAAAATTTGTCTCGCAGGCTTTCCAGTTTTTGCCAGAAAGCCCTTAAACAAACAAACAAACAAAAAATAGTAAGAGATCTAATCCCACCATACATACATTTAGGATGACCCAGGATTTCCCAGATTAACAAGGTCAAATATTCCTTGCACAACTCCAGTATTTCAAACACTATCTCCCACTCTTACTACCGCCTGTCTGTTCTCCAGACACAGCAAAACCACCAAGAATGCTTGACAGTCTAGTTTCAAAAGACAAAGTCAAGGTAAAGACAGCTAGCGCTACTGTAGTGCCTTCAATTCTGGATGAAAGAAGGTGTTTTAATCCTTTCTTCCTATCAGGAAATCCCCTATGAAAGCCAGAGCACATACCATCCAAGCTGGGGCAGAGTTCTGCCTCTGTGTGAAGAGATCTTTACCCTCCTGGAGTCCATGAGAGTGCAGGCAGCCACGAGATACAGGTCTTACTGGCTTCTTAAACTCAAAGGCTTCCTGCAAGACATAGTCGAGACATCTACTGTCCATGAAAACCAACTCAGGCCTCAGCTTGGGTGAAAGAGGCAAGGCAGTGGGCACTGTTCACCTTTCTGCCTCCAAATTAAAGTTTCACCTAATTCCAACAATGGATCTCTGTAACTAAGAATATCCAAGGCTCTGTCAACAGCTAACTTCTAAAGTAACATCTTTTTCTTGCCATACTGTATTTCCTAACACAAGTATCAGCCAAATATACAAAACATGATAAATAAGCTAAATCACAATGCTTCTGAAATCTAGAGTAAAAATAAATAAAATCTAATATAATTGCCTGTGAATAGTTGTCAAAATTTTCCATCTAGATCCATCTGTTTCAGGGCTTCATATCTCCAGCTCTTCCTACCAACTGAGATAATTTTTTCTACTTAAAATTATTATTCTATTCTATACTAAAAGCAATGAAAAAAAAGCCCTACTGGTTTACTCAACATGGACGATTCTTATAAGCATAATGTGTTAAAGCCAGATATGATAGTATATTGTATGATTCCACTTTATGGAATGAAAGCACTCACAGGCCCCCTGCCCTAAAATATTCACTTAAGAACTCATAATTAAGTGTTAAAAGCAGTAATGGCTAGCACTGAAATGGGTGGCTGGGTTCCCCATCGCCCTTGGTCTCGGGGTCGCTGTTGGCACTGAGGCTGCAGCTATCATGATGAACTTACTTCAGATTGTGCGGGACCACTGGGTTCATGTTCTTGCCCCTATGGGATTTGTCATTGGATGTTATTTAGACAGAAAGAGTGATGAATGGCTAACTACCTTCCGGAACAAGAGTACGTTATTTAAAAGGGAATTGCGACCCAGTGAGAAGTTACCTGGAAGTAAAGACTGGCTGAATTACAGAATGTTCACATTTTAAAGTTCTGAGAGAAATAAAAACGTTCAGAACCAAAAAAAAAAAAAAAAAAGCAGTAATGGCTAATATTACAGTGATTTCTATGCCAACACAGTACTAAGTACTTTCTGCACATTAACTTTTTAACCATCAAATACAACCTGATTGTCCAGATTTTACAGGTGAGAAAACTAGACCTTGCAGGTTAAGCAATGTGCCCAAAATACTGAAGTAAAACAGGACAACTCCAGAGTGAGCGCTCTTTAACCACCACCTATGCTGTTTTCCCTTTAAAACAAAGCTCTAAGCAAGCAACCCTGAGAGAAGCCATTTCAGGGGAAAACCAGGCATCAGTATAGCTTTGCCCTGGTAAAAAGCATGAGAGGCTGATAAACTGCTCCAAGCACTCAAGGCAGGAACTCATTTCCATATTCTTTCTCATGACATTTCCCAAGCTGATAAAGAAATCATTAGGAAAGTTCATGGAGGCTGTGGGTTTTACACTAAACCTGGAAGATTTTAAGGATTATGAACTGTGGCATTTTAGCAGGAATGGAAAAGGGGAGAAAGTAAATATACAGAAATACAGTAGAGAGAAGGCTGAAAAAATTACAACTGTTTTGGATGCCTACTCTGTGCAATGTCTAAGAGAACAAAAAAGCCAGGCCCATTCAGGGTAAACAACCACAAATTCACCTTCCAAGCCACCATTTCAGTTACTCTGAGATACCCTAAAACTTGTTAGCCCTGTTCTTACAAATACTGCCAAAGAGCCTTTTCCTAAGCTTACAATTCATTTCAGGGTCAGAGCAAAGAGGCAAGGACAGCCTGGGCAGAGACTTCCAGACAAACACTATTTGTACATGTAATTACTCCTGTGAGCTACCATCTGAGCAACTCCTGCCTGTCAGGCACCATTTTCAATATTTCATACATAATCTTACTTATTGCCACATCCCTAAAAGATATTACTACTCCTATTTTACAAAAGAACAAAGAAGATTAAAAAGAGAAGAATTTGCCAACGTCATACAGCAGGATCCAAACCAAGATTTCTCTGACTCCAAAGACCGCACATAACGGCCAAGTTTAGTCTCCCAGAAAGCAGTCCAGCCACTTATCTCTAAGCCACTGACAGCCTGTGGGTTTCACCTCTGCCTCAGGTTAGTATATTGAAGTCATGCTCACATTTTCCTTGTTCTCATCTGGGTCGATGAGCTGAAAGATGTCGTGGTCGAGAGAATCAGAATGGCTCCTCTTCAGAGCTGGACTACATCCCAAGAGCTTCTGCTATCAAAGTGAAAAAAGAAAATAATTAAGGCACACAAATAAAATTTCAGTGGAAAATTCAGTTCTCAAAAGAAAAAAGGGGGGCTGAGTAGGGGGTAGGCTAGCTCCTCACACACTGCAGTAGATAACCAGCAAATGTGGCCAGAGCTCCACCTTGCCAGGACACAGCAATGAAGTTTCCATTCCATGGGTTTACAGCTAACCTCACAAGGTCTACAGCGCACCGCTCAACAGGGATTACAGTGCCAAATCAATCCCCAAATAACATTTGCATCAAAAGAATCCTTCCTGGTTTAATAAAGCTCTGTTAGAGATGGAGGACAAATTCCTCCAGGCCAAGCATCTTGAGTACTTATGAGACTAAGGAAAGGCTGGGAATAGTGGCTCTTGCCTGTAATCCTAGCACTTTGGGAGGCCAAGGCAGGAGTTTGAAACCAGCCTGGGCAACAGAGTGAGACCCCCATCTCTACAAAAAATACAAAAATCAGCCAGGTGTGATGATGTGCACCTATATATAGTCCCAGCTACTCTGGAGGTTGAGGTGGGAGGATCACTTGAGCCAGGGAAGCAGAGGTGGCAGTGAGCCAAGATTTTGCCACTGCACTCCAGCCTGGGTGACACAGCAAGACCTTGTCTCAAAAAGAGACTAAAGAAAAGTCGTTTTTACTCTCTAAATTAAGTGTCCTATCAAGGTCATGCTGGTAGCTAAGGAACGGGTAACAGGCATTAGCTCAAAATAAACAAGGAACTAACTTACAGGTAGGGAATGTATTCTTCTCATGGGATTTTCAAGGCTGTAATGAGATCAGAAGGTAAATAATGAGAATAAAACAAGTAAAGAGGTATTCATATTAGCAGAGAGACAGTGTTTAGCCTGTAGCTTGGGGGTATAGTCACAGACTCCCATTTTAGGCAAGAGATGGGAGAATAAATTTCTAAAGCTGTCTTATTCTCAGGAGCACCCCTAACACTAGGCTTCTAGGTGAAAAAAACAAACCCATGTCTTTTCTTAAAATACACATGTTCGGCTGCATGTAATCCCAGCACTATAGGAGGCCAAGGAGGGTGTATCACGAGGTTAGGAATTCGAGACCAGCCTGGCTAACACAATGAAACCTTGTCTCTAATAAAAATACAAAAATTAACAGGCTGTCGTGGTGCACGCTTGTAGTCCCAGCTACTCGGGAGGCAGAGGCAGAAGAACTGGTTGAACCTGGGAGGTGGAGGTTGCAGTGAGCCACTGCACTCTAACCTGGGCGGCAGAGTGAGACTCTACCTCCAAAAAAAAACCACAAACAAACAAAAAACCCATATGTTCTTGTAAGGCTATGATGTCAGAGCACAAAGTAAGGGTTTGGGTAAGACCCGAACAGAACACCAAAATTATAGCTAAAATAAAGGGAGAAAAGTTCTGAAAATTGCTGACACAAACTATTCATTCTTGAGATTCCAGAGTGTTTCTAGGGACAGCTAAATCCAGGGCTCCAGTCAGTGTATGAAGAACTTCATTTAAATAAGGTATTTAAGTTTAGACACGTTCTTTCTAAGTACAAACATTTAAAAGCAATGAATACGTACTTTTCTTTACTGTCCAATGGCCCAGGAGAATCTAGACAGAAACCTATGGAAAAAAAACAAAACAAAACAAAAAAAAAACCTCTCAAGAAATAATACAAAAACACCATTTTGTCATTAAAATTAAAACACTAAAGAAAGTACTTGGGTCTTTATTTAAGTCAGGCAACAAATACTCATGGCTTGTACTTTTGCCAGAATTGATGTCATGGCTATTAGATCGTCAAAACTGTCATGTTTGTACAAGTCTGAATAATTTTTTCATAGTGTATTTACTGTTTTTCCTCCATTTGCAAATAACATCAAAAGAAATAGGATTTGAGAAGAGGGTGAATAAAACTGATTCATATCATGATTGTTTGGTTATTCAGACAGAAGTGACCCAGATAACTTTCTACGAGTTCCAATCACAGAAACAATAGGTACCAAATTTTCTTGGCATAGTTTTAAAAAAAATTTTTTTTTTTTGAGACAGAGTCTTGCTCAGTCGCCCAGCCTGGAATGCAGTGGGACGATCTCAGCTCACTGCAAGCTCCGCCTCCCGGGTTCCTGCCATTCTCCTGCCTCAGCCTCCCAAGTAGCTGGGACTACAGGTGCCCGCCGCCACACCCGGCTAATTTTTTGCATTTTTAGTAGAGACGGGGTTTCACCATGTTAGCCAGGATGGTCTCGATCTCCTGACCTCGTGATCCGCCCGTCTCGGCCTCCCAAACTGCTGGGATTACAGGCGTGAGCCACTGCGCCCGGCCTAGTTTTTAAATATTTTATCTTGTCAAATCATATGGGGTTTGAAAAATACAACTACTAGGCCGGGCACGGTGGCTCACACCTGTAATTCCAATACTTTGGGAGGTTGAGGCAGGCGGATGGCTTGAGGCCAGAAGTTCAAAACGAACCTGGGGCAACATAGCAAGACTTGTCTCTACCAAAATTTAAAAAAAAAATTAGTTGGGTGTGGTGGCACGCGCCTGTAGTCCCAGCTACTTGGGGAGGCTGAAGTGGGAGGTTCGCTTGAGCTTGTAAAGTTGAAGATGCAGTGAACCCTGATTGTGCCACTGCACTCCAGCCTGAAGCCTGGGCAACAGAGCAAGACCCTGTCTCAAAAAAAAAAAAAAAAAAAAGGCCAGGTGCAGTGGCTCACCCCTGTAATCCCAGCACTTTGGGAGGCCGAAGTGGGTGGATCACCTGAGGTCAGAAGTTTGAGACCAACCTGGCCAACATGGTGAAACCCGTCTCTACTAAAAATGCAAAAACTAGCTGGGTGTGGTGGCCTGCACCTGTAATTCCAGCTACTAGGGAAGCTGAGGCAGGAGAATTGTCTGAATCTTGGAGGCGGAGGTTGCAGTGAGCCAAGATGGGGCCACTGCATTCCAGCATGGGTGACAAGAGTTGAGACCTTGTCTCAAAATGAAAAATACTACTAGTCATGACATGCAAGGCAAGCACTTGCTGCCTTTAACAAAATGACACCAAGGTGTCCATCTCAAAACAGGAAGCAGGGTGAAGGAGACACTGTTCAGCATTACTTATATGTCAGCTCAGATGACGCAGACCCACCCACCCATAGCTCACATGTCTATGTAGCCTTACGGAAAGTGAAGTGTTAGAGCCCTTGCTCACCACACTGCTACAAATGATAATCCTATCCCCAGTTCTCTATTAAATTACATTCTACATACAGAAGCCTACATTACATTTTAAGACTTTTGCAGCCGGGCGTGGTGGCTCACGCCTGTAATCCCAGCACTTTGGGAGGCCGAGGCAGGGGGACAATGAGGTCAAGAGATTGAGACCATCCTGTCTAACACAGTGAAACCCCATCTTTACTAAAAATACAAAAAAATTAGCCGGGTATGGTGGCGGGTGCCTGTAGTCCCAGCTACTCGGGAGGGTGAGGCAGGAGAATGGCATCAACCCCGGAGACACAGGTTGCAGTGAGCCAAGATTGCGCCACTGCACTCCAGCCTGGGCAACAGAGCAAGACGCCGTCTCAGAAAAAAAAAGGACTTTTGCTCTTCCAATTCCTTTAACCTAAAGCATCTTTGCCCCAACGGTCTTATCTGTAAAAATACAGATAAACTCTGCAGTAATATGAATGCATGAAGAATGAAATGCACTGGCAATTTCCTCCATAGCAGCATCAATGAAATGATTTCATGACACTGTACTTCCAATAATTTGACCCTGTATTTTAGCCAGTAAGATTGCCTGAATGCCACTTACAGTGGTATGGTGAATTTTACTTTACTACCCATCCTTAAAAGGCAAGCGCACACCATCTCCTTACAGACATTTGAAGCCTATTTCCTTTCTTCATAAATAGCCATAAGGGCTCCTTTGTATTCTTCTTAATAATGTTTATCAATGGGCATGGTGGCTCACGCCTGTAATCCTAGCACTTTGGGAGACCGAGGCAGGCGGATCACCTGAGGTTGGGAGTTCAAGACCAGCGTGACCAACATGAAGAAACTCTGTCTCTACTAAAAAATACAAAATTAGCTGGGTGTGGTGGTGCATGCCTGTAATCCTAGCTACTTGGGAGGCTGAGGCAGGAGAATCACTTGAACCCGGGAGGTGGAGGTTGTGATGAGCCGAGATCATGCCATTGCACTACAGCCTGGGCAACAAGAGCGAAACTCTGTCTCAAAAAAAAAAAAAAAAAAAAAAGTTTATCACCCAATGCCGTGACTTCCTCAAGTTCTAACCAAAACTAACCTCCTGGGTGAAAAGGCATGTTTCAGGAAATTCACAGTATTGCTCCCCACACAACAGACTTAAATACCTGAATCTGTTGACTCAGAGGAGCCCATTCTCTGCAGATTACTGTTGTTCTTCACCTCCAGTGGTTGCTCATAATCACTGAAACCAACAGAAATAAACCATGAGTGATTTATAGGATATAATTAAAAGGTCACATGCAGGAGATAGGCCATGAGATTAAGCAGCAGCCACTTTAAGAAGCAGATTAAGAAGCAAAGATCCCACTTTGCCACTATGAACACCCAATTAGCACTTGGGCAAAGGAGAAAAAAGGAGTGGGTGGGCATGGCCTTGGACCACACTGCAGGTTATGATGGCTATGGCAAATATTGGAGTATTTCCTAAAACAAGAGCATGTGTCCTAGGTACTGTGACAGAGTCGGGATGAAAGTTGAACAGGGCACTTTCTGCTTTTCAGAAGTTGGGAAATGCACAAGACATGTGCTTAGCAAATGGGATGCCAGAGATTGAAGGGAAAGTAGCTCTTCCGCCGGAAACACCGTGGAATGCATTTTTTGCTATCAGGAAAAGCCCAGGAAGCTTTCAGAAAGTTAGGTAAAAAGACCTGGCCTTAGGAAAGCAGCAGAGTGGACATCAGGAATGTGCACGGGTCGAGGGACTGAGATGATTTTACGTAAACGCAAGGAAAGAAAATGCCATGGTCCTTTATTGAGAAGGAACAAAGATCACAGCAAACTAAGATCCTGAGGGTGGTTTAGCAAAGGGTGAATGTGAGCGTCTAGAAGAGCCTGATTTTCCCCGCGGGGGTAGATTCCAAAGAGCTTCCAGGGATAGAGACAGAAGTAGAGTACGGAGCAATCCGAAATGGGTGAAGGTGGGCCTAGCTCGGGCTTAGGCCCGAGATCTCCACCTCTTCCCCTGGGAGGTCCGGACCGCCTCTCCCGCCCAACATTCCGCCCGGGCGGGGGTGCACATGGCAGGCCCTAGCCCGGCTGGTCCCCGAGCGGAGAACCCGGACGGAAGGGTCTCGCCCTTCTCCCGGTCCGTTTCCTGGCCTGATCTCCCCGAGGCCGACGCCGAGGCCAGAGGCCTGGGACACCGCCCGCCGGTCTCTCCTCACCTGCCCAGCCCCTGCAGCTGGTCCATAGTGACGGTCAGGTTAGTGACAGGCGACAGTCCCCCGGCGGCTGGCGCGCCAAATAGCGCCTTCACGACGGGCTGCGGCGCGGGAGGGGGGCTGCAGGCGAAGAGCAGGCGGCGGCGGTGCGGGGGCTCCGGGCCCAGTTCCATGAGATGTGTATAAGAGACAGGATTGTGCCACTGCACTCCAGCCTGAAGCCTGGGCAACAGAGCAAGACCCTGTCTCAAAAAAAAAAAAAAAAAAA